CCTAAACCTTTATGGGCTAAAGTTGCTCCCTGAGTCTACCCCAGTATGTAATCAAAACCTGACTCCTGCCCGCCGGTGTGGCTCAGTGCTTGAGCATCGACCTAGGAACCAGGAGGTCACGGTTAGAATCCCGGTCAGGGCACATGTCTGGGTTTCGAGCTCGATCCCCGATGTGGGGCGTGCAGGAGGCAGCCCATCCATGATTCTCTCTCATCATGGATGTTTCTATCTCTCTCTCCCTCTCCCTTCCTCTCTGAAATCAATACAAATATTTTTTTTAAAATACAACCCCAATTCCTGCTGTGCGGGAGGCCTGTCCCCTCATGGGCATCTGGATGTTAACTGATGGTGATGATATAGTAATTACTAAATAAAAGTACGAGATGGGATCTACAGATTACATAACACGGCTCATTTCCCCCCCAAAATAGAAACTATATTTAGAAATATTCAAATGTGACACTGTGACTCTCTGCAGGATGTCTTATCTCAGCATCAAGGGCTTCTGCGGAGTGGCTGGGAGATGATGCAATCGAACTCGTAACGCCCATTCAGAGGGTGAGCTCAGCCGGAGCGCGGGTGCCTGCGAAGTAAACAGGAATGCCGTCCGTCTTGCCTCCAGACCTCGTCTGCCCCCGGGACAAAGTCACCTCCGGGAAGAATCTCAGGGCTGATTTTGGGATGAATTTTACCTGCCTGAACAAGACTGGATACACTTAGGGGATCTGAGTTTTAAAGGGCTAGTCTACCTTTTTTCAAATAGATTTTCTCAAGATTGTATTATGCTGGCCAGCGTGGCTCGGTGTGGCTGGCCTGGCTGATAGGTTGAGCCTATCTAAAAACCAGGAGGTCTTGGTTTGATTCCCGGTCAGGGCACATGCCTGGGTTGTGGGCTTGATCGTGCAGAAGGCAGCCGATCCGTAACTCTCTCATCATTGATATTTCTCTCTCTCCCTTCCTCTCTGAAATTTAATATATATATATATATATATATATATATTTTTTTTTTTTTCTCCCTCTTCCTCTCTGAAATCAATAAACATGTATTTTAAAAAAGATTATATCATGGAAGAAACCATTTATACCATTGTAATAGGGTTATTCTATTAAGGAGATTTCACTCAATTCCCAATCTGTTTCTCAGATCCCAAATAAAAGAACAGTTTCATGGCCCAATGTCTAAGTTATTCTAAAGAGTGATTTGCCTACGGTATGCTTTTTGTCCTAACATAGCTTTCGGTGGCTCCTACAGACTGTTTTATGCGGCTCAGTGCCATAAGGCAGCACACAGTATTAAATGATAAAAGCAGGTGTAGACTTCATATTCTATAACTAAAAAAAAAAGTTAGACCTCAAGTTCACCGAGGAAAGCTGTTTCCAATCGCGTTAAGCTGTATTGTCATGGGGAACCAGAGGTAACAGGTCGATGGGTTAATAGAAAGCTCACGGTTAAACTAGGTACAAATGAATTTGTGAATGGGAAAGAGGGATGGTGTGGATATCCCTAATTATGGATTCGTCTGGGGTTTAATAGAGAAATCCATAGGTAATCCATAAACCTGGTCATTTCCCATCTTCCAATCCCTTAAGTAATTTCCAAATCGACTTTTCTGTTATTTTTTTTTTGCGCCTTTTAAATTGCTGTGAGGGGATGATTCACCACCACCTTGGAGGAAAACGCAGGCTGCCCGCGGAAACAGCAAAATAGTTGAAAATCTGGGCGGTCACGCCCACAATTTCTATTTGTCTGTCATCACCTGTCATCATCATCAATGCCAGAGCTGTCGGAGGCCTGGCCAGTGGCGCTGAAGGAGTTAAACAGCACCCCCAAACCCCCTCATTTCTCAAACCTCAGCGGATGGATGGAAGTAGGTAACTGTGTTCCATTCCCTGGTGACTGTGACCTTGGGCTGTGACACAGGGAAGGCGTGTCTTCTTCTCACTGTTCCCGTAAGAAAAGGCAGCGAGTGACTCAGGCCTTCTCGTGGCCTGCAAGCCGCCGAGCGTTTTTCTGAATGATCCCGCGTCTACACTTTGGAATCAGGAAGAGAAACATTTCACTCTTCACTCACCAAATAAAACCGTCTATCCATCAGAGGCAACGCGGCTTAGGGGAGCCAGGGACTTAAAAAAAAAAGCCGTTCCACATTTTCCCTTTAACTCCCCCCCCCCCCCCCAGCTTTGGGGCATAAACAAAGACATCTGCCACATCAAGAGCCTGGTTTGTTTTGTGTTTTTTAAAACTGGAAACTGAAATGCGATCATCAGCGTGTCCCTTGAAAGGAGCTTTTGAAATTTAAAAGTGACTTCTGCAACCTGCACTATTTTAAGTTTCAGTCAAAATGAGCCCTCGCATTTTTTTTTAAGAAAGTTTAACATTTCACTTGATCATGAAACGAAACTTGTGTGGCACGATCTACAATTTACTGTTTAAGAATACTGTTTCTTGAAAACCGCCTTCAACAGGCTACTAAATATATGATTAAAATATAACGATGAGCCCCCAAGTTATTGGACCATCCCTAATGAAAATATATCCCAGGACCCATGATTTGTTGCTGTTTAATTTAAAAACATATACTTTAAAAAAAAAAAAAGGCCTTGGAAGATGTCCAGTGCTCCCAATTTTATTTTTATTTAATGTTAAGTCTGTGCGTGCACACCCTGTCCTCTAAACTCCTTAGAAGTTTCACAACTTCCTTTCCTGGAGACGTCGGCCAAGCCATTGATGGACAGGCTAAAAGCTGCAGACACCTAGACATGTCCTATGTGACAGTAAGTGTAGTAGTTTGTAAAGGCATCTCCTTTCATCTCTATAAATCCCAGCTTCATAATATCCATGAACCTCCTGCATGACTTTGGCCCTGACTCTCTATTCCAGAACTTTCCAAAGGGTAGGCTTTTTTTTTTTTCTCTTTCTCTTTGGCCTTCAAGTGCATTTCATCTGGCCCCGTAGGGCGGTTTTCCTCCAGAGCTTTCCAGAGAGCAGCTCCATGTCCTGACAGTGTCTGCGATGTCGTCACTGCCTTCCCCTTCCAACCTGCTCTTGCAGCCCCGCTGGCTCGCTGCAAGCTCAACCATAAACAAGTGCTTTTTCTGGCTTTGGGTCCTCTATCCAGTGGCCCTTTCCCCGGTCCCTGCCCCCCCCCTCTTTTTTTCCTACCCTCAGTTCCAGCCAAACCCCGACCCCTAACCCACACACCCCTGAGCCCTACTGCCATGCGTGATGAAAGCAACAGCCGTTTCTAACCTTACTTTTAAAAAAAACTTTAAAAAAAAGGCCTCGGAAAATGTTCAGTGCTCCCAAGTTTATTTTTATTTAATGCTAAACGTTTAAAGAGAAAAAAAAAAAAGTACTGTAAATCTGACACATGACAGAATGCAGGTGATATTTCCACAGCGTGATTGTTTAAAATATAATCATGTTCATAGCTGAGATTACACTCACTTCGGTTTGACATAAGTTGCATCATATATAGAAAAAGTTATCACCTTCCACTTAAAAAAAAAAAAAAAGCTAAGGTTAAAAGGTGGCACACTTTTTAAAATACTTGGTGGCCAAGGAAAGGGTATATAGTAAAAGTTGTAAACCATGTGTTCATTCCATAACTTTTAATGTGAGGCCACATGAAAGGGTACATGTGTGAAATTCTGTAAGTCGGGAAAGCAAAAAAAAAAAGGGGGGGGGGGAAGCTACGACGCCCATCCCGTAATATTCTGAGTATTAAAAGCACAGCTGAAACATTAGGCTCTGAAATCTGATACTGCCCATGTACAGTAAGCAGCTTTCAGGCGTTTTTTTATCCAGCTGTGGAAAACCATACTGTCATCAGGTACAACAACAGATCAAACCCCTGTCCCGACGTCAACTTTTTCACGTAAGGCCAGAAAAATCACCCTCCCCAATCAACACTTTCCAGCTGCCAGTCTTCCAGAGAGGCCACCCAGGGGCCAGGCAGACGCATGCAAATCTTATTTTTTAACAGGAGTCACCTCCACACACAGCCCTGTAAAGCTGTTTGCTTCCGTCCCCACTTTCACCATCAGCAGAGAAAAACCAGAGGCAGTCTTTTCCACAGCTGGATAGACGTATACAGAACGGCAGGATGGTTCTAGAAGATCATTCTTTTCGGAAAAGCTATCTGTGCTAAGGTTGCAAAACATACAGATAAGCTCCCACAAATTAGGTCAAATGACGGATCGACGTGTAACATCTACGAGGTCAAATTCCAGTTTAGAATAAAGTGCCTAGGTACACATGGATACAACAGGCCATAATGGTTGCATTCTTTACACATGTCTCTTATGGGCATGGAAAACAGACTGTCTGCCTGTGAACATTACATAAGAGAAACCAGTTTGATCTGAGTCATAGCTACTCCAATTTAAAAAAAAACACAAAACACGAAACAAACTGGTTAATCATGCAAGTCTGTCGGCCATATAACAATGACTAGGAACATGAATTTGCACAGCATTAATAAGTGCACTCATTAAAAACACTACGAAAGAGACTGTATTTGGCGCAGTATCTGATTTTCAAGTGTTAATAACCCGACAATTAAGAAAAATCTTTTTGAGCACTTTTCGAAAGACAAAACACGTAACTAAAAAATAACCCAAAGCGGGGAACAATCTGTTTTCAAATGCAAATAAAAGCTGGGTTGTGAACGATACACGACGTTACGTTGCAACAGACCTGGAAAACGATGATTCAGCCTGATATTAGGGCCAAGTTACACACACCTGAACATCAAAGGGCTTAGAATCGTGCTCCTGTGGATGTGAGAACAGCACAAAAGAAAAAACAGCCTCGCTCCGGGGACAACTATGTCTACTACAGCTGATGATTTTATTGGTTTTTAAAAAATCATTTCACTGATGCAAAATAGTCATCAAAAGAAATTAGTTTACAAAAGGCTTCTGAAAAGAGTTGGGAGAGGTGGGGCCTGTTATGTAAAACCTTTTAATTTTCACTAGTTTATCTTTCCCCCCCCCCCCCCCCCCAAAGAACTGTTATTATTCACTCTACAGGTAAGAGGAAATGAGTGTCCTCCACCCCCAGCTGGGCTGTCACTGACACGGCCCCTGGCAGTCCTGGCAACCAGCACCCTGGTGCAGCGGCTGTCATTGTACCATGACTGCACTCAGCACTTGCAAGAGACAGGGTGTAGGTGACGCTAGCCACAGCCACAGCGCTACAGGTCAATGATAAAAACAAAACAAAACACGAAACAGAAACGAAAGCAACCCCACCGTCTCCAAGTTCACGGGGACTGGAGTTCCTATTGCAACTCTTTCCAAAGGCCAAGGCGCTGGCAATAACAGAGCTCGGGGTGTTTACAACAGAGCTCCGGGCAGAACCAGGCCCCCGGTCAAAGATGGCAGTGCCATCTGCACACCACCGTCACCACCCTCCGTCACCCGACTGTGGATTATGTAACCGACTAGCATGCAGCATTAGGATCTTACAACTGATTGCGTGGGCGGTGAGCAGTGGTCAACTTTGCCTTAAAAAATCAAGAGAAAGTCTCCCTCAAAACCACACCGTCCCCCAAATTCTCTCAGCAGCTACTCCCAGGCAGTCCTCCACGTCCCAACAACTGAACTTGAAAAACAAAACAAAGACGGACTCAAAACCTCTCTTCCCGTTCCTTTCAGGGGACAGTGTTTTGGGGGTCAGCTTGGTGAGGTTGCCCAGTGGCGTGCCCACTTCACAAGGGCGCCCCTGCCAACTCACTTCCTCTCCTTCTCCACCAGTTGGCCTCCGGCCTGCGACAGGAGCCAGCCACAAGGAATAACGGACAGTAAGGCAATCTTACAACGTCAGAAAATGTATTTGGCTTTTTTTTTTCTTCTTTTTAAAATAAGTGCATTACAAATACAGCTAGAAGCAGTTCGGGGGGTTTGCCAAGTGCTCTAAAAAAGCAGCGCAAGTCACAGCCTACATGGAACCGGTCACTGTCACCAAGATAATGAAGCACAGAGATAGGCTAATAACGTTAACAAAAGAAGAAAAATGCCTTGATAAGTACATACCTTTTGTCGTCAAAAAAAATATATATATAGAAACACAATGTATTCAAAAAAAAAATCATCAAAATTATACAGCCATGTTTATGAAGTCTACATTTCCCTTGTCTTGGATATATATATATATAATATATATATGGAGATTATATATATACAGTTCAAGCAGTTTTCGTGAAGGGTAGCCATCGGGTTTTTCCGAAACCGGGAAGTCACGAGTCTCTCTCTTTTTTCACTTTCACGTCTCCGGCCAGGATGGTGGCGATCTCCCCTTGCATGAAGGCCCAGGGGACGTTGGAGCCCACCAGGGGGCACTTCTCCCCGCTGGGGCAGTAGACCTCCCCGCTGGCCCCCTGCTGCTTGATGCTCTGTCTGGAGCAAGGGAAGCAGAACTTGTGGGAAGGGACCGACGGGCACTGCACGAAGTGGGTGTCCTCCAGGCGCTCGTGGCAGAGGGTGCAGCACAGGGGGGCGCTGGCCGCCAGGGAGGAGTCCGGGAGGCTGGCGGGGTGCACGGGCTCCAGTCCTCCGGTGCCGCCGGCCCCCTGGCCCCCCACCTCCCTGGGGCCCAGCCTTCTTTGGTTCATAGAGGACGGAGAGGGCGGGCTGCTGCTGTTCCTCCTGGTGGTGGAGTGCACCGGGTTGGCATCTTTGGAGGCGTGGCTGCCCCCCGCATTGTCTGCTACTAGGATCAGGGCTGCCATGGGGGACTGGCCGTTCTGGGCAGCTTCGGGCGGCGTGGTGGTCCGGTTGGAATGGGGCGAGGCTGTGGGCGGCGGCGGAGACACAAACGCGGGTGTCGGGTTCAGGGGGATCTTGAGCCCTTCCGTGGACGTGGACAGCCACGGCTGGGCCTCCCCGTTGATCTTCGGGGGGCCGACCTCTCCTTCCGGCTCTGGGGAAGTCTTCCTTTTCCTTGCTGTTCTTGCCACTGAAAACCACAAGCAAATAGGGGAAAAAAAAGGGGGGGGGGAGGGGGGAAGAGAAGAGAAAAATAAATGCACACACACTTGGAAAAGGATCTTTTCCTAATGCACCTCTGTCTACCCTGTGAAAGCCTGCATGTATGTGTGTGTGTGTGTGTGTGTATAAAACCCATTAAGTTTCAAATGCACGTGCAACTGAAAACACCCATGTTCACGGGGCTGGCTCCCTAGCAGTTT